AGGGTGTGGCCAAGTTGGCGGCCAGCCGCCTCCGTTTCTCCTGGCATGCCGGAGAAGCTTCAAGGGTAAGGAAGGATCTTCGACATCCTTTAAGGGTATATGAATATATATGTATATATATGTATGTATGTATATATATATATATATTGTGTATGCGCTTGTTGCCCCAAAGGGGCTCCATGTACCAAAGTTGTGTATGCACTTCTGCGCTACACGGGTTCCGGCACAGTAACTCTAGGGCCAATGTATATCTGCTACATCGATACATGGACCCGCTGTTGCGGATAGTTACAAGTACCATGCCTTACAGTTCCAAGTTCCGAAGCCCTAGCTTAATTATTGAAGCCCACGTTTACTAAGCTAGCACCAGAAGCCCTAAACCCAACCCCTAAAACCCTATACCATTCCTTGTGGTTCTGAAACGTTATGAACTCGACAAGTCTGAACTCTAAGCCCTTAAAGCAGCTGATTTGTTCTGCATCGCAGCCCGAAGTAGTGCCTCCAGCTCCTGCGCAGCAGCTGCAATCCTGGCTTTGGGGATATATAGTGGTTAGGGTTTTAATTTGTACCTAAACCCTAAACCCTAAATAGGGTCTGTGTTTTTGCTGAGGCTGGGGGGGGTTGGAGGCTTCAGGTTTTGGGGGTTGGGGTTTAGGGCTTGGACATGGCTGCCAAGACTAGGGTTTAGGGTTTAAAGGGTTCAGCTTGAGGCACGGTAAGGTTTAGCATGAAAAGCACTGCGATCCTAATTAAGGCTCAAGTCAAGTCGCAACCTAAGGCCCTTATAGAACCCCTATATAGAACCCTTAGAGAACCTCTATATAGAGCCCTTTTAGAACCCTTATATAGAACCCTGAGAGAACCCTTATATAGAGCCCTTATAGAACCCCTATATAGAACCCTGAGAGAACCCTTATATAGCGCCCTTATAGAACCCTTATATGCCACTCTATACCCCTAAATAAACCCTAAACCCTGAACCCTAAACCCTAAACCGATACTGCAAACCCTAGAATTTTGCTCAGGTCTCGGAGTTTTGTTGAGGCCTAGAGCCCTTGTAGACCCCCTATATAGATCCCCTATATAGAGCCCTTATAGAACGCTTAGGATACTCCAAACCCTAGAGTTTGCTGAGTTCTCCGGGTTGTTTTTGAGGTGCACCCATGGGCTGCATAGTAGTTCCTTTCTGGAATTACCTTATAGGATTTTAAATATGAACCCCAAGAAGGAACTACTGTTGGGCCTATGGGCGGTGGGGGGACTTTCGAGCTGCCAGCTCCCAGCTCGCGCAATGCATCACTCCTCCCCGAGGCTACCTGGACCCCACAGAACCTTCCTTTTTTAGAGTTCGTTATTATGATTTCTTTATATATGTTCTTAAAAGGTAGGTTATTTGGGGTTAAAGTAGGGTTTAGGGTTTAGGGTCTGGAGGTCTCGGATTTTTAGGGGTTTAGCGTTTAGGGGTCTATGAGCTTTCCTGAAATGTCGCTGCTTTGAGCTCCACATTTCACCTGCCTTGGCATCCAAAGCACCAGGCCGCTCAAGGCTTGAAGCCTAGAGCCTTTATAGAACCCTTTTATGACACTCTATACCCCTAAACCCTAAACCCTAAACCCAGAAATCCGAAGCCCGAAAAGCCCCTAAACTCTAGATCCAGAAACCAGGTCCAAAGCCCCAAATCAGAACCCCAATAGCCGCGCAGGACTCCCGAACCTCGAAACCCTGCCCTAAACCCTAAACCCAAACCTAAACCCTAAAGCCAAAAAGCTAGCCTTCTATCTCCTAGGCCAAGAGCTCGAAAGCTTCAGAGAATACAGTGCTCGATTCGTGTGAGGGGACATACAATCGAGGATCCGTAAACGCTATCATTTGTTTGTTTTTTGGAGGGAAGGAGGCCTTTCTCGGCGTAGGGTTTGAGGTAGAGAGTTTTTGGATTTGGGCTTAAGGTGAAGAGTTTGGGGTTTAGGGTTTAAGCACGGGTTTAGGGTTTAGGGTTTTTGCGGATTCCCAAAAACCTATCCGAATCATGGCTTAGGGTTATAGTATAAGGTTTAGGGTTTGGGGGACCTAATTCCATAGTTTTAGTATACATGGACCCTCTGGGAAAAGACTTCGATTAGGATAACGTAGTTCGGTCAGGGTAACTTTGTTTTCTGGTATCTTGACTTAATTAATTAATCAAATCCCTGAACAAGGAACCCTAAGAAACCTTGACAAGAACCGGTTACATAAATGATAACCTACAAGCCACTAGCTCAACACAACATACATAGACTATTAAACAAACCATACATACATATATATATATATACATACATCCATACATACATACATACATACATACATACATACATACATACATACATACATATATACATATATACATACATGGGTGAAGACAAACATATATACATATGCATATACATATACATATATATAGATGTACATATATATATATATATAGAGAGAGAGAGATATACAACAAAAGCCTACTGCAACCTGTACAGCCACGACATCCCTATAAACCCTAGAGAGCCCCTCAACCCCCCTAAACCCCTAAACCCTAAACCCTAAACCCCTAAACCCTAAACCCTAAACCCCTAAACCCTAAACCCTAAACCCCTAAACCCTAAACTCTAAACTCTACTGTTTCTGGAGCAATGGACCCTTAAACCCCCTCCCCCCACTTCTTCTTTTGGGGCCTTGCACGCTCCTCTTCCTCCTGTCGTCTCAACTCCTGAGCCTGGTCAAGTCTTCGGCTTCTTTTTAAAGGGCTTAGGGGTTTAGGGTGTAGGGGTTATGGGTTTAGGGTTTATATGGGGTTTGCGGTCTAGGGTTTATGGGTTTAGGGTTCTAGGATGGCTTAGGGGTTCGCAGTTTAGGGGCTTAGGGGTTTAGGGGTTTATGTTTAGGGTTTAGAGTTTAGGGTTTATGGGTTTAGGGTTTAGGATGGCTTAGGGGTTTGCGGTTTAGGAGTTTATGCTGAGGGTTTAGAGTTTAGGCTCTATGGGTTTAGGGTTTAGGATGGCTTAGGGGTTTGCGGTTTAGGGCTTTAGGGGTTTGGGGTTTAGGATGGCTTAGGGGTTTGCGGTTTAGGGGTTTAGGGGTTTAGGGTATAGGATGGCTTGGGGGTTTGCGGTTTAGGGGCTTAAGGGTTTAGGGTTTAGGATGGCTTAGGGGTTTGCGGTTTAGGGGTTTATCGGTTTGGGGTTCAGGGTTCAGTTTTTAAAGGATTCGGATGTGGACATTGGAAAGGTACTGTGTAAGTTCTTTTACGGTTGTCATGGATCTTGTACAGGGTTTGGAAAGCTTGTTTGTGTAAACGGATATGTTCGATCTTTACCGTGTTTCAAACTTGATTGATCGTTGTTCGAAACTTGCTAGAGGGTCGTGCAGGGTTTGCATTGTATTATGCGGGCTTCACAGTGTTTGGAGCGTTTAGGGCTGGGGGGTGCGGTTGGCAACTTGGGGTTATAGGGCTTAGGGTGGGGTTGCGGATCGATTGCAGGATACAGTCACCCTAAACCCTAAACCCTAAACCCTGCAACCGTCTAGGGCTCAGGGCCTAAAGTCCGCCATTCAAGCCTCCCAAGCTGTTTGATTCCGAGCTATAGATCGCTAGAAGCCCAATGCCCGATTTAGGAAGTTGCTGCGTTTGGGGCCCCGAATGAGTGTGTAGACAACAGCACTTGCATACCTACGTACGAATGTACACTTTCTACAGCAGAAGCCCGAAAGTTGGAAAGCCAATAGCCTCAATCCTGAAGAGTAATGGATAGGGAATCCCAGCAATATTTGTCCTGAATCCGGTACCCTAAACCCTAAACCCGAGCTGGGCCATGATATGGGCACCTGGCCCTCTACTACGGGACACCTCAGGGCTCAGTTCCTTTTCCCTTCGCGCAGATTTCGCTGCTGCCACGGCCGGGGAACTGAAAGGTTTAGGGTTCGGGGTTTAGGGTTTAGGGTTCAGGGGCCTAAATAATTACCAAGATTATTTGGGGGGTTTCCTTATAATAAATGTAGCATAATGGGCCCGCAAAACCCTATTCTAATCATTAAGGCCCCTATACTACTCGGAAATGTAGGGCGTGTAGAGATTAAGGCGGCGAGGTCCCATGGAGGAGCCTCAAGAAGCAATCACTTCAAAAGATCTCCGTGAGTGTTATGCATGTATGTATGTATATATATATATATATATATGCATATGTATGTGTACATATATATATATATCTCTCTCTCTCTCTCTCTCTCCCTCTCTGCTATCACCCAGTGGTATCATGGCACAGTGGTACACATGCCAAGCCCCAACATCGCTGCTTGCACTGTCTAGATTCTAGCTCTTCAGATGAACGCTTCGGAAGGATAAGGTTTTGGGGCCTATTAGTACTATACTTATAAAAAGGAACCCCCCCAATCGTATTGGAACTTATTTGAGGGCCCCTGCAGTATCAAACCCTAAACCCTAACTCCATCTTCGTGGACCTTGCACATTTCCTCGGAAGGATCTACGAGGAACCTCTAAGGTGCTGCAGGAAAGCTCGGAGCCCGAAGCTTCCCCAGTCAGCTTCCGGAATCTTGGGTTTAGGGTTTAGGGCTTAGGGTTTAGGATTTAGGGCTTAAAAACAAAAGGAAACATGAAGCTTTCGGACCCAAGCAAAGGCCCCGGGGGCACCGACTGGAGCAGAACTCCTCACCAAGTCCGTGGTCTTCGCGAAGATTTGCATGCAGCCGCTGCTGCCTCCAGAATGGCAGACACAACCAGTGTAACTTGCGCCATCCAGCCACCAACCAGTGGTACCCTGCAAGTTTCCCACCAACCTGGGACATTGCAGCGCCATCCTCGCGTTGCAGGCGAAGGCGCGCCTCCAGCATTGTGTTGGTGCCCGTGCCCGTCGACATGGCACCAGAAAGTGCCAACTTCTTCTCTGCAGATGTCGGCCGTGGACGCAAACAGCTGTCTTAGTTGGAAGACATGGTGACATGGCAGTCAAGCAAAGCTAAGTCGTGTCGGTTTCGTGGTCCCCATCCTCTTCCTCATCTGGAGAGTCTGCGTGTCCAGCGAACTGTACTGCAAAACCTCCCCAGTGAGCACTGGCCGAAGCCAGCACCGGAGCCCCCAAAGGCTGAGGATTCCGATAAGGCCAAAAGGGGCGGACGGAAGCTTCCCGCGGTAGATCCGAGGGAGGGCGTTGAAGATGACCTTCGTGGTGTGAGCATCAAGCAGAAAACACAAATCCGGCCTAAACTCTAAACCCTAAACTCTACCATGTTTCAATGATTCTGCATGAATATAGAACTTAATCTCACCTTAATTAGAGAAGAAGACTCAATTACGCAAAAAAAAAAAAACATGCCAATCAATCTCGTCAGCCCTAGCCCGTCGATGCTGGTGATCGTGATGATTGTGGGAGTGCCGATTGTGGTCATGATGATGGCAGTCATGAAGATCATCATGGTGATTACTATTACTTACTACCTCGACTACGACGATTTCGACGATCACGACTACGACTATACTGACTATGCAACTCGGCTACCGTAACTACTTCTGTATCGGAACGGCTGCAGATCTAATTGCTGACACAACTGCTGACGACACACCACTACGGTACTGTTGCCAACGAACACGATGATGACGACAACTACCACGTAAACACAAACACACAGCATTGTTGCAACTGTCATCGCAAATCGCTCGCCTTGCCGCCATGGCGAAGTTCAGAAAACAAGGAGCCGTTCTAACCATGGCAGTAGCACGGCGCTTATGCTTCCCCCGCATACTGGCGAGACTGAAGAGGACGGCCAAATGCTTCTCCCAGATATTTCGAGGCCAAAATGGCCAACGTGCTGAAACTTAAGGAATCTCGCTTTTCGGAGCGCGGATCCTGTGTAAATGGAAGGACCTGAGCACAAAATCTGCACCTCGCCACAACGAGAGGCGCGTTGAACCTGAAGGCCGGCGCGTGGCGCGGCCACCTGGACCAATACCTTAACCTACCAGAACCCTACTTGTTTGTAGGGGCCCTATAGATCCCATATTAGGGTTTATAATAAGAACCTACAGAAAAGTGGGTTATGGTAGGGTAAGGTACACTTTACCCTGCACGTCAGATGTCGAAAGACAGTGTACCACACTCCTTGGTGAACAAAACACTAACCATAGAAACCACAACCCTAAACCCTAAACCCTGAATTCCACATGTTTGCCGACACTCTAAACCCTAAACCCTAAACCGTGCATAAGGCGAGGAGCCCGGGTCGAAGGTAAAGTTGCCCCAGGGAGCCATGCCAGCCTTGGTCTCCTCCTCCGAGGCCTCATGCCGGCAGTTTAGGGTTTAGGGTTTAGGGGTTTAGGGGTTTAGGGGTTTAGGGGTTTAGGGTTTAGGGTTTCCGGCTGTGGGTTCTTGGGTCTTGGATCTTAGGGTTTGTAGGGCTTCGCGGGTTTATAGGGTTTGGCGAGTTTAGGGGGCTTAGAGGGCTTATAAGGGGTTTAGGGGGCTTAGGGTTTAGGGAGGTTTTAGGGCTTAGGGGGTTTAGGGTTTAGGAGGCTTTAGGGTTTAGGGGGTTTAGGGTTTAGGGAGGGTTAGGGTTTAGAGGGGTTTAGGGTTTGGGGGTTTAGGGTTGAGTCATTCGGGTTTGCTGTTTCCCGGTGCTTGCCTGCAGTTCAGTTTGCTTAGCTTGGTTGCTTGAGTCCTGCGGTGTAGGAAGACATTGGCGCTGAAACCTCACGAAGCGAAGACACTTTGATATGGAGCAACACGTAGACACAGGCGCACCAACTTTGTCAGGTGTTGACCCAGCCGGCAAAACCAAGTGTTCAAACCCCGGACTACACCAACATTGAAACCGAGCGTTTAGGGGTTTAGGGTTTAGGGTTTAGGGGTTTAGGGTTTAGGGTTTAGTCGAACTTTCGTAGCTATAGGTCCATCAGGGAGCCGAACGAGATGTACAATGCTAGCTGAAAAGGCTGAAAACTAAAGAAGCACTTCATAGAGGGTGCTTAATAATTAGAATAGGGTTTTGGGGCCCATTATACTATAATTATAGTAAGGAACCCAAA